AGACCTGACAGGGAAGAGGACTCTGCAGGAGGCTCCCCAAGTATGAGCCACTTGGACTCCAGCCCTGGCAGGCTGCTCTGTGCTGGGGCAAGTCTGGGAAGAAAGGCGCACAGCTAAGCGCCTGCAACTGACCACTGACCTCCAGCTTCCATGTTTGCATTTCAAAGCCATCAGAGAAATGTAATTTGCTTTGAAGGCAAGGTTATATTCGAAGCAGACTGGCCTCTCAACAAAGGGACAATGACCACTGCCTGCCTGATAAGCATCCCCCCAGGAGAGAGACTATCTGCCAGGGAGTGCGGGGCAGAGTGGCAGCCAAGTAAAGTTTTTCTGCATGGGAAAGCCTTTGAAGAGTCTAGAGGCCTCACCTAATCCAAATCACTGCAAGAGTTTTGAAGTACTCTGTCAAACTGAAGCGAAGCTGTTTGCCACAGAATTGACTTGGTTTGAGGAGTTGCAGGGACTGAAACGGTTTGTTTCCAACTTCCTTAACTGCAAAACGTCAATTTGATGACCATATTTTCTGAATCCAAACATCTGGATTTAACATAGGCTTGTCCCCTGAAATACAAGGGGATATTATCACGATCTAGAGATGACCATAAATCTAGTAGGAAGGGTAGGAAAAGTGGAAGATACCTTTGATTTGGGTGATTTTTGCTTTCTCCCCATAAACTAAAGCAATTCAACTCTTCTTAGGGGCTCTGCCAGCAATATTGAGGCTGGAGGGACCAGAGGAGAGAGAGCACAACATGAAGTATAAAATTCCACCATCTCCATTCAAACACCAGCCTGGAGGTAGGAGAATGAATTAAGTGGTTGGTCGTTTTTCTCCCAAAGCCAGGATCCAATGACTCTGGGCTTTGGAAGGTAATGGAATTGAAAGTTCCGGAGGCTGTCTGGTGCTTTGGCTAAAATTCCTAGCATAAGGAACCTTTTTGGGTGAGGAAGATGACTCTCATTCCGGCTACGGGAGAACAAATCTTTGTCTTTTGTTTACCAATCCGATCCTCCATCGTGGATAAAGCAGTGCTATCCAGGAGCAGCAGAGCTCGCCCAGGGGAGATGGGCAGGGCCAACCTCCCAGTACCCAAGGAGGGCCTTGAAGTTTCCCATTTCACTGAGCTTGAAAAATCACCAACCACTCCAGTCTCCCTGGGTCATGCGCAGGCTGGGGATGATTGTAAAACAGATACAGCTCTGACTCACCTACAGTGGAATAACTAAAAGTGACTTTTCATATATGGTACAGTCAGAATGAGTACCTAACGACCAGGTGCAGTGGCTCACGCCTGTAACCCCAGCACTTTGGGAGGCCAAGGCAGGCAGATCACTTGAGGCCAGGAGTTCCAGACCAGCCTGTCCAACATGGTGAAACCCCATCTCTACTAAAAATATGAAAATTAGCCTGGCGTGGTGGCACATGTCTGTGGTCTCAGTTACTTGGGATGCTGAGGCACGAGAATTGCTTGAACCTAGGAGGTGGAGGTTGCAGTGAGCCAAGACTCCAGCCTGGGTAGTCTCAAAAAAAAAGAGGAGAAAAAAAAGCTCCTAGAGAGTGAAAGGAGCTTCTGGGAATCACGTCCAGTCCTCTCCAGGCACAGCCTTGATCACCACGAGCCAGCATTCTACTTTATGGTCAGTAAACGGGTCCTTATCCCCCTCCTTTATTTCCTTTATGTTGCTTCAGTTATTGTTGGTACCTCAAAATCAAGTGGGTCAAGGGAAGGAGAGTAAAAACTGAAATCTGCTCCATTCCACATGCTCTTAATGGCTGGGAGGAAGAAGCTAAAACAGATGCCTGGAAGGTGGTTTTAAACTAAACTGTGGACTCCTGAGCCAGAACATGAATTCTTCACTGGCCGGTGCAGGCCTCGGAGCACCCGCACCACAGTCCCCTATTCTGGGGGTGGTTTGGACTGTGGGTGTCATCAGCACAAATGGGCTACGTGTCCTAAGGTGACTTCCAAGATTAGATGCAGCCTGCCCACGGAGTAAATCCCTCAGGGCACTGATGGAAAACAAAAATCGAACGGGGACCAAAAACTGTAGAAAAAGTACCATCAAGGGCGCAGAGAAAGAAATACAAATATAGTTCTCATTTAGAGAATTTAATGGAATTTAATGGTAAATTCCATTTACCCAGTTTATAAGAACTGTAAGAATAAGAAATTACTAAATGAGAGGAAGTACTAAATATAGGACTAAAAGATTTAAGAGGATGGAGGAGAAAAGAAGGGAAGCATCAAAAACCACAAATCGTAATGGAAAGGACCCAGTGCAGGCCACTGTACAGTGAGAGACCAGAGAAGAGGTGACTTGTCCCCACTGACAAACGGAGCACAGCTGGGTCAAAAGCCCAGGACTCTGCACTCAGGAGGATGCACTGTGCACTCCGTTGTCACTGCTTCTCTGGAGGGAGGCCGGAGAGGCTGAGAAAAGTGTAAACACACAGAGGAGGTTAGAGGAGGGGATGAAGATGGCAGAGAAGAGAGGAGGAAGCAGAGACTGAGAAAACTTGGGAGAGGAAGACAGGAGGAGAGCAGTGAGATATGAATGAGTTTCAACTCATTCATTCACAACATTAGCCTTTCAAGAGGATTAACTCTAAACAGACTATTTTCTAACTCACTTGGTTTGAATCACAGCAAGTTACTGCTGCCTTTTCAATTGTTCAACTGCTAATTCTTTAAAAAAATTATTTCAAGATACATTATAGCATTATTAACCATAGTCAGCATGTTGTACAATAGATCTCTTGAACTATTCCTCCTAATTTAACTGAAATTTTGTTGCTTTAATTCTTAAATCTCAAAAGGGTCACCTCCTACAGCTCACTGAAATGTGGGTTTCTGGCAAAAGCAATTATACCTGCAGGCTGGAAGATAGCAAGTGAAGAACCACACATTCTCCATTTCTCAGCCCAAGAAGTCGAGGACATGTGACTACCTGGTCAGTTCTAAGCCAAATACTGCTAAAAAACTGTTGTAGGGAGGAGTCTTGTGGGTTGACCAACTGGCCACAGGCATCTGGCTTTTAGCAGTCTACATTTGCTACTAATCATGATTAGTCAATACTTTTCTAAACCAGTGCATGTTGACAAGTTTTCTGCAATGTTACCGACTTCTCAAAGAGGACTTGGTGCTGATTCAACCCAGCTGTGTTCTCTAAGTTCATCAAACATTTGTTTAGTGTGATAACCTCTGACCAGCTTTCAAGACACTTTATTCTTCTTGGCTTCATGAGCTAAGCTACTGTGGTGGAAGGTGTGTTCTACTTAAGTGAGAAACTGACTGACTGGAATGTACCACTCCACAGCCTCATATAAATCACAACATTCTTCCCAAGCAGTGGTCTGGAAAGCCACTGTGACCTGGCAGAGCTGTGATGCCATCAGCAGGGAGCTCTCCATGGATGGAGAGAAAGGCATCATTTCATCCTTTTATTTCCCCAAAGCGCTGGCTTTTGTCTCGCACCTACCATGCTTATCAGGATGATAAATTAATAAGCAATGCTGGGAGGGACGGCCTGACGAACCAACCCCCGTTCCCCTGGATTTCGCCCACTTTAGACGCCTGACTCTACAGCGCTGCATTTGCCTGCCAGAGGCAAGACTGGCAGCCTGGGATGTGCCAAGCGCTTGGCTCTCAATTCAAAACAAAACCGTATAGGAGGGAATTTGTGAGTTAGCTGATTTGCAAACACTAGAGCAAGTCGCCATGTAAACATTTGTCTTGTGTCTCTCAGGTTCTTCCATTTCTCTCAGGCAGCCACCTGGCTGCCACCCTGACAGCATCAAAACATGCTGCTCCTCAAGTGACCAGTGAATCCCTGTTCACACTGAAATAAACCCAGCTTCTTTCAGACCATTAAAAAAGAAACCCGAAAGCCCCCCACAAAACAACAAAACAAAACAAAACCCAACCAAAAACCCTTCATGAAGCAGTCACCACAGAGCACACTAGTAAGTATGGTAGGAGAGCCTCCAGTGGTATTCAGAATCAATGTTAGGCCAGCAGGTGTGTGCCCAAGTGTCCATGAACATGTCACTTGGAGGGAGCCATTGCCCAGGGAACCTGAATGAAAAAGGAGCTGCAGCTACACTCACATGGGTTGGCTGAGACTGTCCCATCACAAGTACATCCCGACTTTAAATAAAAGTTACTTGGGCATGTGAATATGTTCTATACCCCCAACTCCAAATGCCAGTTTACTGAATCATCACACAAGCCAGCATATACTGGGTCTGACCAAACGTATGTGGTGAGTAACCATTTGGACTCTTCACTGTAAGCCTAAAAGTTAGTTCTTCTGTTTGCCCCCTTTTCGCAGTTGAAGAAGTGTTGGGTGACTTGGCTGAAAATTCCACAGCAGAGCCAGAATCTGAACACAGATTAAGGATACAGATTCTGTCTTCTTTTGCTAAATTCACTTGCTTGGTAATAAAATAAAAAGCCTACATGACAAAAGACACTTAAAGGATATCACAGAGCACTGGTACTCCTATGTCCCCAAAGAACCTTCCCATTTAGCTTTAGTGTGACTACTTATTTCCAATTCACTCAACTCCAGGGTTGAAGCACCAATCATGGTAAATTAAAAAAAAAAAAAAAGGGAGAGTTATAATCAGGAAGTTTTGAAAAATTGGAAAGAGGAAAAAACAACTAATGGTTGAATTATTTTCTTTGAACGTTTTGGAGGATTGCAGGGTCAGAAGGTCCTAACCAAGGTTATCTAATCTAGTTCTTGCCTCAGGCAGGATGACTTAAGTCATCCCAAAGAAAGGAAGGTTCACACAATTTGTAAAGATCTTCCTGAATTCTACCTACCTGAGAGGCAAGTTAAAAGCATCACTTGCCTGTCGGAGGCTCCACGAAATGCTCTGGAGCCTTTGAAAGGAAAGGTACAGCACAAATGCAAATTATTAACAATATAAATCAGCTCAGTTCCCGTAAGCATAGCCACCTAACCCAGCCGAAGGAATGCAAGAGGAGCTACAATGCCAGTCTTTGTCAGAAAATATATTTATTATTGATAGTGAGTGAAGTAAAGAGGTGAGTATTCACTATAGAGGTTACATCAGCCAAGGTTGCCTTCATATTGATAAAAATACCGTATCTCACTTGTAATCATAAACATTATTCCAGTAGAAGAGGTACATTTTCTCTCCTTTTTGTCTTCTTGCCTGTATAATCACCATAATAAGTTAAAATGAAACAGCTCTTACATAATCAAAGGAGAAAAGAGAGAGAAACCCAACATGCCACAGCCTCGACAATTCCACCCAGCACTGCTGCCCCCAGATCTATGTTTTCTCTCTCTCTCCACCCAGCACTGCGGCCTCCAGATCTGTTTTCTCTCTCTCTCCACCCAGCACTGCGGCCTCCAGATCTGTTTTCTCTCTCTCTCCTCACCTAACTCCAATTAATTTAGCCCCCCACCCCATCCTACTTTGTTAGGGTGCAGGTTCACCACATGATGGGGCTAGCTCAGAAGAGAAACATTTTATGGTCAGTGGAAGTTGAATAGAAAGTACCAAATGGTGGAGAGGGCTGCCCTTCTCTTTTAATCATCATAAGAGGGTTTACTAATACTGAAGTGCGTCCTTTAATGACTGATCCCTGATCACGGCTTTGGCCCTTCAAACTGCTCCTGTTCAAAATGTGAAATGATTCTGCTGAATCCATTCTTGGTGTCTCTCTTTAGTGGTCTTCTCATTAGTGGTCTTCTCTTCAAATGGGTTATTTTCTTACTAGGAAAAAAAATGTTCCATCTCTGGAATTAACGTTGATGGTGTTTTGCTCGTTCTGAAAGTTTTTATCCTCCCTTCTCAAGCATGCTCTGAAAGACAAACAGAAAGCGTAAGTTTTACCACCAGGAGAGGGCAAAAAATAAATGGCACTAACTATTTAGTATGATTTTTTCAAATTTCAATAGATATTGCTTTTCAAATATCTAACTTTAAAAACACAGAAAACAAGGCATATGCTTCCTGTTCTCAAAATATTGCTCCTTTAATCAACACCATCGCTTTATCACATATGATCTTTAAATGACCCCTCTCATCACCATATGGGTTGAAAACTCCAACAAGGCTGGGCACGGTAGATTACGCATGTGATCCCAGCACTTTGGGAGGCCAAGTAGGGGGGCAGATCACTTGAGCCCAGGAGCTTGAAATCAGCCTGCGCAACACAGTGAAACTCTATCCCTACCAAAAACAAAAACATTAGCTGGGCATGGTGGTGTGTGCCTGTAGTCTCAGTTACTCGAGAGGCTGAGGTGAGAGGATCCCTTCAGCCTGGGAGGCAGAGGGTGCAGTGAGCCATGATCATGCCACTGTACTCCAACCTGGGCAACAGAGTAAGACTCTGTTTCTAATAGAAAGCAAAAGTGCTTCTGGTAGGGGCATTTGGAAATGTTGGGAGCATGGCTGACGGATGCAGTGATTGGGGGAAAGCTATGGCCAAGGCAGTGCAGGGATCAAACCCCAACTCCAAAGGTTCTGAGAGGGAATCTCTTCATTAGACAAACACAAGATTCCTTCTCGGAGAAGGAGAACACAGATGTTCATGTGCTCATGAGGCTGGACAGAGCTACACAGATTAGTACCTATGCCCAGATTGCAGAAACGGACCCTGCATTCTATTTAGTTATTTATTTGGGGGAATTTGGGGGATGTGGATGTAGACAGGAAGAATTCTTAACTATCAGATGAAAACTCTATACCTAGCTGAAATGGGGCTATACTGCCTCCATTTTTAGAGGTCTTTAAGAAGAAAAAAGTGTTACTTTCCCCTCTAGTTTTGCAACCACTCAGAGAGGCAAGGTGAGGCCGAGGTTGCCTCCAGTTCATCCATTACCACCTGCCTCCCGCCAGCACTCACCCTTCCAGCCATCCACACACCTGGCTCTCCACTGAGCTCCTACCAGGTACCACTGCACTCAGTTCAGTGCACTGGGGAAACCAATACACACACCGGTGGAACATTCAGGAATAATAAAAGGTAATAATTTGCTAACTTTTATTTATTTGCTAACTACACGCTAAAATTTATTTTATTGTATATACAGCATAACATTTAATAGGAACAAAATAGTATCTCGTAGAAAGTAATTTTTTCCTTCCTTCTGTTTCCCAGTTTCTGTGTCCCCTTCCAGAGACGGTCACAGTTCACAAGAGGAATGGTTCTGCCTGGTGCAGAGGACAAGCCTGTAGCTGGAGTGAGCAGGGAAGGCTTCTCCAAAGACCTTCCACCATGGAGAGAATCCAGGGGGAGGACTGGCGTGGGACTGGGAGGAACGAGGGGAGAAAGCAGTGGCCAGGATTCAGGGAGAAAACAAGTCCAGCACACACGGAATCCTGAGGGGTGAGGCCTAGCTGGAAGAAAGAGTACATGTGCAGGACTGACCAAGAGAAAGGGTGGAAAGAGGGCCCAGGACGGACGCCAGGCTGAGACATATCCTGCTAGCCACAGAAAACCTAGAGGAATGCTTTTACGTAGGAGAATGGCATTTAGGAATGTTAACCTGACATCCTTGGCATGATGGATCCAACAGAGGGGAGTCTGCAGGTAGGAAGGCCAAGGAGGGGGTAGAGTAGAAACCAGACAAGGGTGGAAACAAGAGCTAGAGCTACACGGGAAGAAAAAGGGAAATGGTGACACCCAAGGTATGGGAGGATCCTCGGTGACAAGGACAGTGATGGGGTCACCAAGAGAAACAGGGAAGTCAGTGAGATCCTGAGAAGGAGGAGGATGACTTAAATTTTGGGTTTGTCAGACAATTTTGGGTGAGACATCCAAAATGGAAATGTCTAGAAGGAAGTTGCAGGCCTTCTGAGGTCAAAAGTCTCTAGACACAATGATTTAGGGTCAAAAATTTAAAAATGATTGAAATTAAGGGGACAGAACAGAAAGAGTAGAAGTCAAACAAGATGGTGTATTGGGTTACAGGAGCAAAGGGTGGATAGATTATCCTAAAGTGTCCATCATTATAGGTTTCTAAGAAGCCTATGTCCATAGGGCACAAAATAAGATATAAAGGCAAGTAAACTTAGACATAACACACACAGAGTGATCAGAAAAACAATGATTATGTCACACAGAAAGTAAATTTAAAAAGCCAGATGCATTTAGAGAAAACAGGAAAAACCAAGTAGGTGCAGTGGAAGATTCTGCTCAGCAGAGTTGTCCGGTAGGAACTCACACTGGAATATGAGGCACAAGACCCATGTTTGTTGGGAAAATAACACACTGAGCAACCACCATGTAAGAGACACCACCTGGCAGTGTCACAGCGTCACAGCATCTCAGCTATGCTTGCCTGCTTGTGAACTGATCTGTGTGAGTCTCTCCAAGTACATGGATGATAAGTTCTCTGAATTCCAGGTATATAGACAACCTCACTACATCATACTTTATTAAATACAAAATGGAAGCCAGTATAAAGCAGATCTATACTGAGCCTATCTAAAGGAATTCAGTTACCAGAGACAGTGATCTCTTTATAAATGATGGCACTGGGCCATTTGCATTTGTGGGGTTATAGGTTCACTGCTTTCTTCAACACACTGATGGGAGCTTGGAGCTGTCATCTGCCTGGTCAAGATTACATAGCTGTGCCCCTCTCTACAATTTTGGGCTTAGGGTTATAAGGATAACCACAGGACAATGCACCTCTTTTCAAATATTGCCAAATAATCTGCAGCTGCCACAACTTAATGAAGCAATAGTTAAAGAGTGTTATCGCGAGTCTAGGGATTTTTTTTACTGTTCTCCCTGCAACCTCAACCAAATATAGATGGGTAATTTTTCAACCAAATCATATCATGCTAAGAATGTTAGGCTATCTTTCAGAAAGAGGGACAAGATGGGACCTGGCTGGTCTGAGGATGAGCAGGCCAGTCTCACATAAAGACACTAAATAACATTTTATAACCCCTTTAACCACATTCACAAAATACCCTGTTACATGTATTAAAATTCTGATCCTCAAAGACAGCACAGTGGTTCAGCTGATTTGTGGTGACTCCTTGAAGACATGTGGGACCACCACAGAAAAGCACCAGGGCTGATCTATAAACATTTTGTCACACTGCACTCACTGGCTACCAAAGGGTGGCAGAGGTGGTACAAAACCATCTCAATTCTATCTGAGAAATTAACAAACACAATGGCAGGCTGGATTTTTAAAAAAGATGAATTCATCTGTCAAACATTCTGGGTTATTATTATATTCCAGCTATGCAACAAAACCTGCTCCAACCCAGACCCCAGGGCTTTTGGCTGGAGGGATCTGAAGGTCTAGTGGGGTCTGTGTTATTCAGCTTTCACCTTATAGGTTCTTCTACTGTCTCTATTGGTTCTGTAAGTAGCTGCTGTTGGGCTGAATTTCAACGCTGCATAAATTTAACACTGCATAAATTAACATAGGAAATTCCCTAAAGAATGAGGGAGAAGCTTTGCAAGTTATAAAAAATTGCTTCCTTCATTTAAGGAACTGCTAACACTTAATCTTAATGTGGAGAAAGAGATTCCTTGCTTTTGCTCATCATTCACGTATTTGGGCCTGCAGGAACTCCTTTTATAAACAGCTGGGTAAATCACCAAAAGAAGAGAGTGGTTCAGGCATGAACACTGCTCTTTTCCCAAGTCTTTTTCTCATTCAAGCCACTGAGGAACAACCGGAGCTCACAAATAAGAACAGCGCCCCTGGAGACCTGAGACTGCACGTCATTTCCGCTTATTAAAACCTTCCTAACCATCCTAACCACTTGCCTCAAATATTTTTGTTACGCAGTAATCTCATCCACTGATTTTTGAATCACGGCTTTCTTGGAGGGGTTGACTATCATAGCAGCATGCCAGCTACTGTCTGTGTTGATAATTTAAGAGAAATGGTGGCAACCCTGGGTTGCTAACCAATCATCACGAAGAGAAAAGTGGTTTGTTTTTTAAGATACCACTCAGGGTGCTTGTCTCTGGGTGAGCTTACCCAGCGCCTCACCAAGACTTCAGGCCTCATAAAGCTGGGTAGAGAAGCAGGAAGGTTTACCTAACCAAGGAAAAATGAAACTGGAGATGTGTCCTGGCACAGACCTGGTCTCAAGATACGAGTTTCACCAAGGAGGGTCAGGAAAAGTGGGGAGTGGGAGACACTGGAGCTTCGAAGGAAAAAGACAGAATGAGAAGACTGTGCATGAGACAGGAAGGAAAAGTCATCTATAAATTGAATTTATGGGAAGCAAAAAGCGAGTTTTGCTTGTGCACCAAGTACTGTTCTTCACTACCTGGAAATCTGATTAGTTCACTTATTTTGTTTTCAATATGTGTCTATTCCCTGCAGCAAGAGCTGTTTGTTCTTTGTTCCTCCTGCTTTGGAGGAAATACAAGTTAACTTTTTTCTGCCTGGATCTTGCTTTATATCTTCTATGACAAATGCTCTGTATAATATTCAAATTAAGTTACAAGTAATTAACTGTTTATACAGCTAGCTGCAATAACAGACAAAACACTAACGTACTGCAGTTCTAACTTTTGAAGGACGAGCACGAGAAAAGAAATACCTATTAAGAAAAATGAAAATCTATTACCATGGTTGTATTTCTTCTATTAAACTCAGATTTTAAAAAAAGAGAAAATGTCACGAAGCAACGATTACTCTCGGAAAGTGGTTTAGAAAAGGATTCCTATGATGGAACAGGCTGGGGTAAGAAATTTAAAGTTTGGAATTTTGTTTGCTTTGATCTGACTCTAAATTCAAAGGGCTGCCTTACCAAAAGATGGGAAATCTATTATGAAATACCCATGCGTCAGTCACCCTGTGTACCAGCATCCCAG